TTAAGACTTGTGGACTTCAACTCCCAGAATTCCTCAGCCAGCTTTGCTGGCTGAGGAATTCTGGGAGTTGAAGTCCACAAGTCTTAAAGTTGCCAAGGTTGGACACCCCTGCTTTAATCTATTAACCACATTTTCTGGATTTGTATTACACACTGAACCACTAATTTTATTAATAAAATACAACAGGCAAAAAGTAGTTAGCCAGTTTGTGATTCATTAGTTTTCACTTTTCTTCCTTATCAATTTCTCCTATACAGAAAAAATACAGTACTCCTAATTTATATATGCCAGAAGAATGTTATGCAGCAACTAAAAAGGAGTTTTAGAGTGATCCCTAGCTCTGAAGAGGGAGTAGCAGAATTTCATATAAACTGGAGAACTTTTTCACCAAGGCTGAAATGTGAGAGAATTCACAGAATTAATCTTGGGAAGCCAGTACAGGCCAATAGCAATGCAACCAAGTAACACTGCTGCCCTCTATTGGCCATTTCCAATTCCCAGAGTGTTTTTCCCCTCAGCTATGAGTGTCAAAGATTGCTCTTGTGAACTAAGAGTATTCAACTTTTTTAATGGAATTTCTAGATAAGAAATTGAATAAAGAAATTCAGTAAAAGCAGAGGAGGTGGTATAAACGTTTAAGATAGTGAACATGAATTTTTTTTAATAATCTTCATATTTAATAACTAATAGGCTAATAAGATTAAGATATTTTACATATTCATACAATTGGGATTCACTGAAGTTATGACTCACTTTGAAAGCACATAGTGAAAAGAGACACTTTTCAGGCAACTCACAACAAACCCATGATTGTTCATTCAAGGACCAGTGACCTAACTCTCATTGTATTTGTTCAGTGCAGTCTTGTAAACATGGTTTTTTTTAAAATCAGGTTTTCACTTAACTTTTATTTTCATTGTAAAGTGGTCCCTACAGTATTCCCAATTCTGTCCTAGCCATAACATAACTAGGTTTTTTTTTAAATGTGACATACAAACTATCATGTGTTCGAAAGAATAGTCAGGGAGGTTTAAATTGTTGAGGAAGCGGGCTACAACTTTTGAAGGTATATTTACCCAGTGTAATTTGAAAGCCACACTGAACTAAAAACTAAAATCACATTTTATCTAGCATGTGGTATGAATATGGTTCATCTGGTTAGTTTATGATCCAGACTGCTATGATAAGACCACAGATTGGGTAAACTGAGTACAGATTAATGACAAATTACCAGGTTATGTGAATTTGAGCCCAAGTGCCAAATCTGAACTGGAATTTAACTTTTTATTCACTTGCATGTGATAAAAGCTTCCCTTGCATTTGCTTGAATGCACGTAAATCCACCCTTGCAATAGACTCAGTACTCTGGGGATACAGCCAGCAAGCATAGCTTTGACTTCCCAGAGTGTGAATTCTGACATTGGACTTAGAATTAACACTTGAAGTCAACTATCAGTGTGGGTACATTTGGATGTAGCCTTCACTATGCCACAACTACGACTCAAGTATTTAAGAGGAATCTAGATGCTCTAATCTTCTGATTATATCCCTGTGGTTCCCAAGAGGTGCACTCACTTTATTTCATCTTTCACAAGCGACATGATTCACATCAATCACCATAAAGTCATAGCAGGTCAAAAGAAAAAGAGAAATCAATACTGAAGTGCTTTTGATTAAGATTATTTCTTGACTAGTTTTTACTTTATGCCAATGAATACCCACAGCCTTTCAGTCTTTTAATCTGTCATCAGAAATTAAAACTTCACATTGTTAACAAATAAATCAAAGCTTTCATGCTCAGTCTTTACATAATGGGGAAGTGTCACTGTTTACATAGAAGATCCAAATAATTCAGTGGATCTTATTCCCTAGCAAAAATGGAAAAAATATGGTCTAAATGAAATATTTTAAAACATAGACTATAAATAAGAGTGGAAATATTTACTTTAATGCCTAATAACTTATTTTTAAAAATAAATAAGATAAAGGATAAAGAAAAGAGGGAAGGAAAGAAAAAAAACACATTTCTGGATAGGTAGCCATGTTGTTGTTGTTATTATTATTTTTGCAGTAAATGGAAAATGGAGTTTTCTAAAGGTGCACAAGTTTGTCATTGCATATACCTTTCATGAATTAGAGGTGATCCATCAAAGTTTTTAATAAATATGATAGTCTTCAGTCCTCCCTTTGTTGTGTCTTATCACTCAATTCCTTACAATTGTATTGTAAACTGCAGATTGTGAGTTGCTAGGTCACTTTAAATGAAATAGTTACCAAGTTATAAAGTGTAGCTACTATTGCCAGACAGTTTTAAATCAGTACATAATATGTTTTATTCATTAAGCCAAGAACTCGGGGCTCTGGGCTATAGAGGTAGATCTTTCATGCAGAAATTTTTGACTCTTTCATAAAAGAGCACAGGTGACTAGAAATAAAATCTCTTCTACAATGTTAACTTCTCTAGATGCCCTTAGGTACATATTTGCAATCCCCTATCCTGCAGAAGATTTCTCTATATTGTTATTTAAGGCTCAGTTGTTGACTTAGATCACCAGATGTTCCACCACTTTGTGGAGAAAGCAATACAAGATAAGATTTTCTTCACAATATTTTCTATGATAGAAATCAGTTGTACCCATCCACTGCCATTCAGAGGAGGGACTCCTATAAAATTAGCAAATTTTGTTAAACGATGTACAGTATTAAACATGATACAGAAAAATCCCCGCAAAATAAGTGATACTTTTAAAATGAGTGCTTATTTAGCATTCAGCCTGAAATTCAATGTTCAGAGGGAAAAACTGCATATCCTGCCTAGGAGAAATCCAAGAAATAACTAACAACCAGTCAACAACACTTACTTGACATTATTTTTTAACAATTCACATATGATTAATTGCCAAGTAAGATAGTATTTTCTAGACACAGTGGCCATTGGCACAGTTGCCACTGTGAATCAGAATGAGGTGGTCCTTGGCATCTTGAGCTGTCCCTTTATAATCATGGGGGAAACAAAAGGAAAAATATTTACAAATGATGCAGTACTGTAACGGATCAAGGATAACTCCAGGACTAACAATTAGCATGAAGACCATTTCCATGCCGGTGGAACCCACAGTCAGTTTTCTTTCCCTGGCACCACACCCCAGACTCCACACAGCCCTGAGAATTAAGGATTTCCACAGCACATCAAGACCTTATGGAAGTAATTCCTGAAAGGCTTTGATTTCGGCTATGTGTCATGGCTCTCACTTGCTTGAAAAAGTTGAGAACTGGATGGAAACTGCGGTCTTTATGATTGGGTTTTCTAATCCACTTCTGAAGACTTGAAGAACAAAATATTTCAACAGCAAGGGAATCTACAATCTTCAGTTAAGTTACATTTTGTATAGTTTTGAATCAAGAACTCTATCCTGGAGGCTCAAGGTTCAGGAATAGTTTCCTGGACCACCTAGAGGGATAACAAAAACAGAGATATCATCTCCAGAGCCTAGTTTGTCATTGGCCAGCCTCCAACCACGGTCCTTCAGAACTCCTCTGGATCTCATTACCAATTCCTGGGCTGCCATGGTATATCTGGAAGAAAATAAACCCTGTAATTACTATTCACATGAAAATGGCAAGAAATCTAACATGATATATTATTATGAAGTAAATATTCATAGGTGCATTGTAATCACATCATTTTAATTGCTTGATTGTGAAGGGGGGGGGGGGGAGAGAATGACTTAAAGTTATCCTCTTGCAATTTTAATATATGTTGGTGGTAGATTCAACCAGAAAAGCTGTTAGAAAATATAGAAATAGTCAGATACACTACAGTAAAATGGAATGAACTATTTGACCTTCATTCAGGGACATCCGAGTCCAAATCTCTATAATATCATGAAACAAGATACTTCATTTCAGCGAACAACATGGCAAGGTGACAATAGAAGGAACCCTATGTATAGCATAGGTTGGCAAAAATGTGAGCTATTAAAAGCAACCAGTGAATTACGTATGTCCTTTTACAGAAAGAACTAAAGACTTACAAGCAAATAAATAATTAAAAAATAAATGTTTCCATTCCATATTTGAAAAAGGACTACTCATTTATTAGCCTGTTTATATATGAAAAGTTGGAAAGAAACTTCTAGATGGAAAAGTTGCCATCATGACTAGGAGAAAAACCTGCCTATTTTTCATCTCAAAAATGCGTTTCCAAAAAGGTACAATTATATCCACGAGATCCTAAGCCATCTGACTAACCTTGAAAATAGAACTGAGTAGAATTTTGACTGCAAGAAACCCTCAACTTATGAATGTAATTAAGCCTGGAATTACAGTCATAAGTCATTGTGGACATTAAGTTGGTTGACACATGACTGACCCAATTTTACACTTTTTGTGGCAGTTTTAAGTGAATGATATGGTTGTTAAGTGAATGCATTTTATCTAATGCTATTTTTTAGACAGAAATTGGAAGTAAATACTAGAAACCATTAAAAATATTGAAAATTGTGGTCATGTGACCATGGATGATGGAAATGAATGTAAAGGTGAGCCAGTTGCCAAACACCCAAAATACAGTCACGTTACTGTTGTGTGTATGTATGTATGTGCGTGTATATACATGTGTGGCCACTATAACTTCAAAATCAGGTTGTAAGAAGCTTTTGTGGGGTCCATCATAACTTCAAACTGTTGCTAAGTGACTGATCATAAGTAAAGACTGCTTATATTAAGGGAACATTTCTCCCCTGTTGAATGTTGCAGACTTCAGAAGCCCTCTCTCCCTCCCAATTTTCAGTTAGTGTTCTACTTATATACAAAATGTAATTTTGTCCAAGTTTCATAAACTTAATTGAACACGGTCTCTCGACATGAGACTGGGACTGACAGTAAGTGTTTCAGAAAGGACCGTTCTACCCAATGAATAGTGTCATCCCCAACACTTGAAAGCAAGAACATTCAGCTCTACTTACCTGCAAGGATCATTGGGTTCATAGCCCATCAATACATCGGTGACCACAGTGGCCACTTCTTGATCACTAGTGACATCCCAGAGGCCATCAGTGCCCAGCACCAGCACATCATCAGGGCAGTGCTCATACTGTGTGAGATCATAAATGTGCACCTGCGGATAAACACAAAGATACAATTTTGTTGCTAGTAATTTGCATTGCAAAAAAAAGAGATACCTAAGGGATCACTCTCATTACGAACCTGCCAATCAAAAATGGTAGGAATTCCCAGAGGTTTGAACTTGCCAAAAGCATAAATGGGAAGAAAGCATTTGTAAATTTTGAGAAAATGCAACAGATTTGTCCAGCCTTATTGGCTGATTAATAAAAAAGGGAAAAAAGACATTTTAAGTATAACTTTGTTTGAAGATTCTTAATGGAATATTGATTCTCTTATGCATACCGCATAAAATGTATTTACAGTAGTACCCCAATACTCCTTGTTAATAGATTCCAGGAGGTGCAATAAGCACCAAAAACGATGACAAACAAATTTTTCCATAAGGAATAGTATAAATACATTTAATGTGTTCCCAAACCAAAGACAATGTGCACTTTTAAGGCAATATGTAAAAACAAAGGGTTGTATACAGAGGTTGGCTGCTGGGGGTTCGCAGGGATTTGGGACAGCTAGCTAAGATTCTTTGCAGTTCGGAGAACCCCCAAATCCCACTCCTGGCTGGCCTCACCTACCCTGCCCCGCCCTTCCCAGGAGTCCCCACGCAGCCTGTTTTAGATGCAGGTAACTGCAGGGCGTGTGCAGAGGCTCAGGGAGGGCAAAAAATGGGTCTCCCGAAAGTTCAGGAAGGCCGGAAATGGGCCTATTTCCAGCTTCCAGAGAACCTCTGGAGCCCAGGAGGCCATTTTCTCCCTCCTGAAGGCTTGAGGAAAGCCTCCAGAGCCTGAGGAGGGCAAAAATGCCTCACCCCTCCGTGGTGCAGGAGGCCAACTAGACCATGCCCACCATGGCCACGCCCACCCAGCAACTGGGCAGAGAACCCTTTGCTAAAAATTTTGAAGCCCACCCCTGGTTGTATATTATTACTTTACATGAGAAATAAATCTAAAAATTAATAAATACAGATTAAATAAAATAAAAAATTCACTTTATTTGTACTGATGAGAAGAACAGTTCAAAAATATACAAAGTGACCACAGAAGCTAAGATAAGACCAAAAGGGGATATGCTCCGGGGAAGAGGTACCACATAACTAATGCATGACCCTTTGTTTCGGGTGAAAAGGGGAGTGAATCATGAGGCATCTGACACCGACATGTCTAGCTTGTATGTTGAGTACCAAACAAAGAGGACAAAATTTTCTCATTTAATGCATTGAATACCAAATTCAATGAGTTTCCAAGCAGTTGAGTACCAAGGTATAACTGTGTTTATTTTCAACATTTCTATACTGCTTCCCATTAAAAGAAATCCTGAAGTAATTAACAATTAAGTGATGTACTTTGTAACAGAAAGAAAACACAAATATTCCAATATGCTCTCCTTAAAACAAATAAAGCGAAAGCTTATCTTTAAGGTTGTGGGGGGGGCAACCTTTTTAGGTCTGTCTGTCAAACCAGGGGTCTACATGTCATGGTATCACCAGACTTGGTGGCAACCAAACTTTTCAATCTATTTATGGAGCATTTAAATTTATTCCACAATTAAGGGTTTAATTTTTTTTGTCCCTGCGTATTTGAGAAGTCTGGGGGCTGAAATATGCAAATGTGGAAGGTGATATTTGTGTGGAGTTGCATTAGTTAAGTTCTATTGTTTTCAAATCATGAGAGGAGAGGAGAGGAGAGGAGAGGAAGAGGAAGAGGAAGAGAGAGAGAGAGAGAGAGAGAGAGAGAGAGAGAGAGAGAGAGAGAGAAGCACACAGATATAAATACATACAAGCAACAGGTTTCTTTTTGAGCCCAAAATTTCAGTTGTTAAGCAAAACACTTATTAAGTGAGTTTTGCTCCATTTCACAATCTTTATTGCCACAGTTGTTAAGTGAATAATAGCTGTTAAGTGTCAGGATTCCGGCAGTTACTCCAATTAAATCATGAGCCTCGAGCCACACTCCCAAAACTAAAGAGGATTTATTTGACGTTATCATTCTATGTTCAGCACTAACCTGGACGTAGCCAACTCTGAGATATGTAATTCACTGTCACCCATGATCCCGCTTTCCCCCCCACTCCTCTGGGTGTATCATCCAATGAAAAGCGTCCATAGCCAAGAGTCATCAATCATGCTCTCCAATTAGATTTTTGCGGGGCAGAAGCTTCAGTCATCTAATCAGTGTTTGAAGAAAATATGAATGGAATGTACTTTTGATTTCACTCTGCCGTCTGCTCTTTGAAACTCCCCCCCTCTTTCTGTTGTCAACTATAAAACATGTATAGAAAATGTTTTATGAGTTGATGTTAAGTTAGTAACATGGTTGTTAACTAAATCTGGTTTCCCCATTGATTTGCCTTATCAGAAGATCGTAAAAGGTGACCACATGACCTCAGGAACACTGCACCTGTCATGAGTTGCCAAGCATCTGAATGTTGAACATGTGACTGTGAGGATCCTACAATGGTTGTAAGTCTGAAAAATGATCACAAGTCCTTTTTATCATTGCCATTGTACCTTCAATCAGTCACTAAACGAATAGGTGCAAGTTGAGGACTACCAGTATATCTCAAGGATCAGATCATTGTGCTCACCTCTGGAGTGCAAGATAAGAAAGGTTTAATGTGGATGTTGGAGTTGTAAACTTTGAGATCATGGTCTCCTAAGCCTCGAGTTACCCCAATAGTTGCCATCATTCGAGCCTAATTAGAAAAACAAGTATCCAGTAAACATTTGATGCAATACGAAGACATTTATTCAATTCCACATTGTTAGAAACAAGATTTGTTAGTGCAAAACATTGGAAGACAAGATATTTTTCACAGCATTAGTAGTATTTAAAAGTCTGCAAAGTTGCTCTATCTAAAAAAATCAAAGCAGCAAAATGCATTAAGAATCACAATAGAAGAAAAAATGTTTTCAAATTGGGTCACCAAATATTTACTTTATTAAAAATGATTTTCTTAAGCAACTACTTTCAGCTGTATAAAAGTCATTTTGAAAAACAATATTAGAAATGGATATTTAAAGTTTCATATTAACTTCTTAAAGACAAAATTGTATTTGTATTCAAATGTATACTTTCCTTTTATTTTTCTTCTTCATATTTTTATTTTTAAGTTGTTCATTTTCCCTTGTTTTTTTCTTCATAAAATAAAAAAATGCAAACAATCCAAATGCTAAATGCATCTATTCATGTTTCCCCAAAAATAAGACCAGGTATTATATTAATTTTTGCTCCAAATGACGCATTACGGCTCATTTTCCACTTAGGTCTTATTTTCAGGGAAATATGGTACTAAATGTATCCGTCTGGCTGACAATCTTAACTGGGGCTTTTTGGGGATGGGTTTATATTACGAGCATCCTGAAAAATCATGCTAGCGCTTATTTTCCAGTTGGCTCTTATTTTCGGGGAAATAGGGTATTTGGTATCAAAACATTAAGCACATTTTAAAAAAAGCTGTTGACTCTAAAACTGTAACATAAAACTGGCGGTTATTTAAGTGATAAAGATTTGCATAATCTGGTTCCAATTCTATTATCCCTCAACCAAACCTCCCTCCACCTCATGCTTGTTTAATCCTAAATTGTCTCTATTCACTGGAAACGAATAGCTCCCCCAAAACTCTCACATTGGTTTTAGCTCTTACTTTTTTACCCTCTCCATATACAAGTGGAAACTTCAGGTCATCTTCTTCTATCCGTTTATATGCCCTAGTTTGAAAAGGAAACACATACAAAATAAGGTCATGCTGAAAATTACCATCGCCTCAGATATGTTAGATTTATAAAACTACCAAGTGCTGAAGGAGAAAATGTCCTGGTGAATCTCTTCTATTCATAGTTGGAAAAAAAGATTGAGGTCAGCAGTATTTCATTTATATAATTTCCCTAATATATGCCCATGTAAACACATATAAAGGTAGTCCTTGATTAGCAACTGTTCAAAGTTATGATGGACTTCCCCAGACCTTACAAGCTTATTTCAAAGTTCCAGAAATCACATGTAATGCCTCCCCCCCCATGGTCACATGATTGCATTTTGGGCACATGCAAACCTTTTGCAATGTCCATGGTCACATGACCATGATTTTGGGGTGACTTTTGCTAGTTATTGGCATTTACTTCCAGCAAAAACTGTCTGTTGGGTATTATGGATTTGTTTAATGACTGCAGCACTCAATGAAAATAGCATTGACTTAACAAGCTGCTGTAAAAAAGATTGTAAAATCAGCCATGGTCACATGGTGACCTGCTTAATGACTGCCATGACATTACCATAATTCCAGGCTCAATTATGATTATAAATCAAGGACTACTTTTATGCTTCTTTCCTCCTGCAGTTTTCTTAATGAAACATTTAAATCTCTCTCTCCCCCGCCCCCAGTCTTCCTTTGTATCTAACCTTAGTTTCATGACAGAAAGGAAGCAAGGGGGGGGAGGGGCGTGGAACATCCGAATGGCTTATGATGATAGAAACAAATTATCTTAATATCATGACTGATATTAAGAATCAGCATGCTTTATTTCAAATAAAAAGAAAAGTTACCAGCCGTTCATATTTTGGTCCCTATATAACATCTTCTTTCCCACTTCCTTCTGTTGGATCCTTCGGGGAAACTCAAAGTAAGTAAACTCATTTCCCAGTAATTCAGGCCTCAAATAGCCCTATGAGAGAAAAGAAAAAACTCAAAGTCGAGAAAATCTTTGGATCTTTTCCATCAAAATAACAGCAACCCAAGCTGGCTTCATATTCCAGAGTCCTCATAAAGGCCGCACTCAATAATAGAATCCCAGAAGGGAACAATATAGTAATATAGTAAAGACCGGGACAATCCAACTGTCTTAATACTGAGATGTTAAAATTTACTTAATGTCCCAATCTTTTTTTCTTTTTGTACTGAACTACTATATATTGTCCATGTCTAGATGAAAATGGAAAATCAAAGCATTCATTCTTCATCTAAATACAAGCTGAAGCATGAGTAGCTGAATCTGTCTCATGCTCAAATGGGTCATCAGACCATTTTCAGACTAAAGTAGAAACAAAAATTGAAACTAATAAGACACATTTTATAGGAAAGAGTGGCTTACACAAATATTTGGTATTGAAGGCAACAAGATTTCAGGTCTGTAATCCAGGTCCTGTTCTCTGCTCAGTCTTCTGTCATTTTACTACAAATTCCAATTATGGGAATGTCCCTATCATGTGCATCATCTCTACATGGACATCTACCTACCTACTGGCTACCTATATGAAAGAGATCCCTACAATTCAAAGACAGGTTTGAAGTTGCTCTTGCTCTAGCTATTTCCTAGATGGGTCTAGTCTTCAGAGCTGGTTCCATCCTTTCCTGCCAATATCACCAAAGAGGCAATTAGGCTAGCAATGGAAGGCCCAAAAGAAGTAATTAAATCCAATAGTCAGGTAAGAATAGAGTCCAGAGCCAAAAAAGAGAGAAAGATTAGGAAACATTGGCTCAATCAGATCCTAAACACACAACTTTTAAGGAGGCAAATTTTACCCCACCTCTCCTGATGAGTCTGACCCAAAAAAAAGTGCAAAGGGAGAACTAGGCCACATTAAAAAAAAATTCCCTTATACACCTTAAGAAGAGTAGCAGTTGAGGAGTGTGGCATTGGGAAAAGAAATGCAGGGCAGTGTGGTTTTGGTTTTCTGCTACAAAAAACACTGCTACTGAAAATTACAACAGGGTTTGCTTTTTCAAGAACCTGGATCGCATTCATAAGGCAATACAGACTATCAGCCTGGCACAACAAATGATTTAAGCCATAAAGGATTTTGGCAGAAAGTGAACTGCTTTAGCCTAGGGCGAAAATGCAAGATGGGCTCCCTGCTGCTCAGTATCTTTACCCAGCCAGCTGAAGAGGATCCCTTATTCAAAACTATTTTCTCTTTTCCATGGCTCTTGGAAGCCATTTGAACAGAACAGCAGATAAGATTCAGTCTGGTGTTTTGCCAAAGAGATAAGAGTTGAAGGCTCAAAATATGGGCCAACAACACCTTAAGGCTGCTCACGCTTCATAGATTTTTGCTTGACTGTAAATTATCTTTCATCCCGGGAAGTACATGTATAATGTTGTGCATGAATGAATCCATCTCACTGAACTACAAGGCAATAACTGTTATATGCAGACGGGCTTTTTTAAAAAAACTAAAAACTGCTCCTTAGAGAGAAAAGGAAATGTGTGTGTATGACTAGGCTGCTTTTCTTACAATTAGTACCTCTGCCCTCTATCACTTCTCACTTTCAGATTCACTCCAAGCTGTTTTTCTCTTGAAAATATAGTCACAAGGTTTTAAAATACCATGCATCATCATTCTATTTCACTACTATGAAAAGTGAGAACAGGTAGTAGTTTGCAGTAGACAAGCTAGAGGAACCCTAGATAGTTCTTGAATCTTCCTCTGGGGCCTACCCTTTCCTTTTCTACATTGTTAAATGTATTTATGAATTATATGTAGGCAGGCAAAGCATGACATTATTTTTACTGAACAGAGCTTAAAGCAATTTGGAGATCACTATTCTGACAAAGGCAAGAACTCACTCCACTGGGCACTCTGGCCAAACGAGAAATTTGGAATAAATATGAATTCCAAATTTAAGTCAGTGTTGACCCCTTTACTGCCTGGACAAGTCAGGCAACATTTTGAAAGTGGTTTACAACTGCCTCCTTCCCAGGGCTGAGAGAGTAGCTCAAGGTCATACAGCTGGCTTTGTGACTCAGGTGGGATTAGAACTCAGAGCTTCCCCATTTTTCCCCTTGACCATTAACATCAAACCAGCTACCTTTGTGAGTGCCATCGGAATGTAAAAATTGGGAGGGAGAATTTAACCTTTTTCCCTGTGTGATGTCAGAAATGGAATTTCCTGATGTTATAGGTAAATAGGATTTCCTCCAGGGCAATATGTATATATTTGCAGGGGAAATGTCCATCACACTATTCTGTATGAGAGATGCTGCTTGGACTTCTCCTAATTGCATTTTTTTAAAAAAAGTATTAATATTTCAAAAAACATTGTTTTTAGTTCATCTCTGTCATACCCTCATTAAGAGAGTTAGAAATGTGGAAATAAGGTAGATAATAGTATATGAATATATTACACGTATATTAACTGTAGTAGCAAGACAAATAGTACAATCTTCAGTTTACTGTAAAATCTTCAGAATTGCTCAGATTGTCCTGGTGTGTCACTATTTAGTAGAGATGCTATTATATGTTTTAAGTATTATTTTTCATATATTTATTTGTTCTCTTAAATGCTAGGGTTCAACTGAATCTTCAACATAGGAGAAAAAAGACTGATTAATGTTCCCTTTTTAATTAATTAATTTTTTTTTTAACAATTGTAATACAATTAATCAGTGTTTTAGAAACAGTGTTTTTTCAGTATTGGCAAATGTAAGATGCATGGATGTCAGTCAACTCCCAGAATTCTCAGCTGACTGAGGAATTCTGGGAATTGAAGTCCATACATCTTAAAGTTGTCAGTGCTGAGACACACCACTTTATAACAATTACAATTCAGCTTCCACATTTCAACTATTTCTTCAGAGTATTCTGAGATCAGCAGAATCATGAGTTTCTAGAATTCTATTTCAAAACTTAGCTTTTTTTTTTGCAATCAAATGTCACACAACAATATCTTATTATGGGCATCCACGGGGAAGCAAGGAGGAGCAAAAGTAATAAATACACACATAACTTTATCCCACAAACTTATGCACTTGGGTCATAACATGCATAAGACTCAGGTACCTAATTGCAGCTTTTACATAATGATATCATTGAGTATATGTCATTATTTTGAATTCACTGAAGTTTGTTGTGGTTGCTGCTAATTCTTATACATCGGGGTGTCAAACCCGATTGCATCGTGGGCTCTATCATGTATCAGGATTGTTTTTGCCCTTGTGGGACCAGGGTGGCCATGGCCTGCATGGGCCATATCTGGCCCACAGGCTGTGTGTTTGACACCCCTGTTATACATTATACATTACAACCCTTATATGTTATAAGGTTGTAACAACATAGCTCTGGTCTTAAACATCTGCTCATTAAGGAAAATAAATACCAGATGCAAATTGATAGTAATTGAGAGTATTTTTTTTTTACTATTTACAATAAATCCAGCCACATCATATTCCAGATGGAAACTGAAAATTCCCAAGCTTCAAAGATGCTAGATAATGTTGCATAAAACATAGATGTATTAACCATGAGCAAAAGAAAAAAGGTTTGCATTTATTGGGGGTTTTTCAATTTAGGTTTGCCTTGCAAACCTTATTTCAGTTAACCACTATAAACTCTGATGATCCTGTTTGTACAGAATTAGTTTCTCAAGGATATACCTGGCAAGGTTGTTCTTGTTGGTGGTGATAGAGTAAATATATATCAGATAGAAAGAAAGTTCTTCCTTACTAAAAACTGTAGCCTTTGCCTCTCTGTCTCTGGAGTAAACTCCCGGGACATTGGAATGATTTCCCCATTACGGATGACAATGGCCCTGCAATGAAACATGCAATGATGACATTAGAGAGAAAGAGAGAGAAAGAGATGGCAGAGGAAGTGCAAGCAGCAGATACACAAGAGGGTAAAGAAAGGCAGCGTTAGGTAAGCACCATCATTACCACATGGAGAGAGAACCTCTGGGAAGGACATGGAATCTGGGAAAATAACGGCCAGGGATCTACATTTCCAGATGCTCTAAGGTTTCCTTGTCTGTTTCTTGTTGATGGAAGTGGATAATGTTATGTTACACCTGAAAGCCCAGAAATCTATTGATGAAAGTTTCCTTCTTTTTCTGGAAGAAATCGTTTGCTAGGGCTTCGCTCTATTTTATTTCGAGATTTTAAAAGTTTCCCTGCCATATCCTAAAGACCCAAAATAGATTAAAATATTTTATTGTATGCCTCAAATCACTCTACTGTATAAGCAAGTTGAAAGATTTGCTGAAGTCCTTTCAATGAGGTTCATGAATAAGTGGATATATAAACATGTCATTCTAGTAGTTGCATGCTTGTGCAGGGAAAAAGGGAAGTGGGTGGATTGGACCTTCAGACATAGTTATTAAAGATTATTCTCCCCACATAGCATGAGGATAAATCTCATAGCATAGGCTCTGGCTCATATTGGTATAATATGCTAGCTTAGAAACTAAAAATGTCAAGGAAATGCTAGATAGCCTTTTTCTTTAACATTCCATAACAATTGGGTTAATGCCAATTCCTAAGTGTGACTCAAGAACATCCAGAGAAAGAACACTGACATAGCATAATGAAAAGGAGCAGCCATAAAGACATATTTAGATGTCCTTATATTCCACAGTAACAATTAAGCCAAATTACTAAGCAATGTTAGTTACCTGCTCTGAGAGGAAAGGTGTTCCTTGTTCAGACAGATAAGGAAACAAAGGAGAAAAATCAGTCTAAGAAACTAGGGTTCAGAAATGGTGCTGAAAGGATGTAGGGGATCATGAGAAGAAAAGTACGGCCAGAATAATGGGTCACATCATCCAAACCCAAGTGCTTGGATATTCTGATCAAAATATAACGTAAAATATGGATTATCCATACACACACACAAACACACGGGTTTTATTTTCATCTTTTGGCAATATTACATATGGAATCTGACACTAAAATGATCGCTAAGCCCTGTGCTCATCTATAAACCATTCTTTACAAACTGCAATTATCTCTCAAGACATAATGACTAAGCAAAAACAAGTAAAAACACAATTATGGCTTCAGACGATTCCTGTTACAGAATTTTACAGTGCTTCTTGGGTTGGAAGTCTTCATCTTAAACTACCAAATATTTCCATATTTGATTATGACATTTAATGTTTATTCAAACATTAAAACAAATTCTAATTGATTATTCTGACTTGATAAAAAAAGTTGATCTCACTGAAATCTTGAAAAAATAACTTGTCAAAAGTATGTGTACTGCTTCCTATTAGTAGAAGCTCTCCCCATTTCAATTACCACAATGAGAAATAATACCAGTGTATTTTTCTCTATCTTGTTATCCACATTTGTAGCCTTCATCAAATGATCCTTTACTTGTAACCCCCATCATCCCCAGACAGAAATGTATACAATACACCTGGGGGTTATCATCTTGGCACACAGAAGAAGATATGAATTTGGGTGCAAAATAGGAGACTCAATGAGGAAACTGAGCATCTATTAATTAATTCCAAAAGTATTCCAGAATCCTTAATCCTTAGCATCAATGCTTCATTTTGATTAATAACCCAGTAAAATTTATTTTACTGACAAATTCTAAATGTTTTAAATCAGTAAAAGTTATTTAACAAGCACTTAAATTATTATTTGATGAGAACCTAAACATGGTGATACCCTACATTTAGGACTCAATCACTAAAAGCAATTAAAACAATAGGCACTGAATCAAGGCAGAAACTACAGTAAAGACTAAAATAATGATTATTCTTTAATCATCCATACTTTTAAAGGGGACCCAACAATAGAAAGGGAAATAGAATGACTCCCCTATCTCAGGGGAGAACTAAAGAACTAAGCATACAAATTTTAATATAATTTGTAACTCCAAATGAATAATCACAATTCAAAATCGAATTTCCCTCTTGCAACGTTTACAATCTACCTCAGGATATGTTGCAAGAGCATATTTATATTTATCAATATTTAATTTTTCCACCTTAATATTCAGATCACAAAATATAAAGTAAAATTCATTGCTGTCTAATTTGCTTGGGATCCACAACTGTGTCCAACCCAGATCTTAAGCGAGCTCCATCACTGATACCACCACATTATCTTTTGAATATGAGTCAGTTGACTCTTTGGTTGATAATAGGTACAGTCCTTGATTCTGAGAACTTTTGTCCAACTTTTCTTACAATTGACAGTGATGGCCTCTATTCAGCACAAGTTTTATTAATTTATTATATCCATAGCTCACTTTTTAAATATAATATTCAAGGCAGCTATTGGATTCCTAATGGTTTTTTATCCACATATTGATCAGACTTAGTTCTGTTTAGCTTTATAGCATTATAGCAACATCACAGTGTCAGACCATTTCCTGAAAGCAAAATTTGAACTTCTGATCCTGGACAGCATTACTAACAACACAGCATCATACATCTGTCTATATCTTCTTGGATTAATCCCTTGACAAAAATTTTGGATTAATCTTGACAAAAATTTTGGAAGTTTCTTACCACTGCCTCCTTTCTAAGGCTGAGAGGAAATGACTGGCCCAAAGTTACCCAGCTGGCTTCATGTCTAAGGCAAATTGAGAACTTAGTCTCTCAGTTTCTAGCCTGATGCCTTAACTACTACACCAAACCAGCTCTCATTAGTTATATACCTGTCACTAATATACACTCTCTTAAGGACTGGTGTGGTGGTATTTATGGTGAATGAACAGAAGGAAGACAAATATTTTAACTGTTGTTAAAATTATGTGCAAATTACAGGTAAAACCTTAAAAATAATTGACTTTAAGCAGAAGGACTCTGACTAAATGCTACCTGGCAGTTAAAAATATCTTTTTTTCCAACAGATACGTTTTGGACAGTTCTAATTTGGCAGGGAGCCAAAACATTCTCCAGCCCACTTACCTACTATCACCAGCATTGGCCACATAAAACTTCCCCAGAAGATAAACCACAGTCAGTGCACAGCAGCCTCCTGTTGCCTGTCTAGTCACCCGTTCTTGCTCAATTTGATAGTCCTGAAAAGACAGAAAAACAAAAGCAGTTACAGAAACAAGATAGTCATTAAGACATTACCTTCAAATTGTACAATTACAACTTTATGCATTGACAAATTCTTGCTTCGTACATCAAAAGTCGATCTTAAATGGAGAAATGATATTGAAACAAAGGCTGTGTTTTCATTATGCTATAACAGGATTTGATTTATCTTGAATCATTTACCCCAAATAAGGTCGTTCTTTGTTAGAGCAGAGGCCCTTAATCACACTCAGTAGCCCTGTTTTGTGCTTATTAAACAGTTTCAATTATGGCTTTGTATTATTTCCAAAATTGGGCAAATGGTTAATATAGTGGGCAATTAAGCAGCCATTAATCCTCCAGGAAAATAAAATGATATGCAAAACAGTTAAAAATAGGAACTGTTCCTGCAGCAACGTTTCCAACATTCCTTTTTTTCCTTCCATACAGATGTACAATGACTTAAAATAAAGAGGACACCCCATATTATGGGTGGCTATGTTTTGCCATCATTTGTAATGTATTTTTCAGGTTCACGCCTTTAGAGTAGTGGTTAATCTCTGACTATCCCTGTCTGTTTGCCAAAGGTCTAAATTAATTGCTAACTTAATCTTTTGTCTATTAAGACTTACCTGGTCTGAAATATGTGAAAGAAGAGAGAAAATACTAATCAAAAGAAAGGTAATTAGCAAGCACAGTTCAAATATCTGAGGAAACAAACAAAAACCCTACGCTAGTAAATCTCGCTATATAATTTTATGACAAGATGGGGAATCACCAATAACACTTTCAGTACTTGTACTAAATTACAGTTTGAACAATTCTTCGGGCAAGCCATGACAACTAAACTGGTACAGTATATGAATGCTATATGTTGACAATGTGCCTTTATCTGTGTTTTATTCCCCTAAGCAGCCTCAAAGACAAGATCTCAAGCTGAGCTACAGAAAAACAGAACAGGCTCTACTCAGGAACTATAACTAGGTAAGCAAATACCTAGTCAGCCAAAAATAATCATATGTCACCATGTCAGCATCTTAACTGCAAAAGGAAGTGAATGCATATTCTGGGTGGAAGACAGCCAGGCAAGATTGGAACACATCCCTGATCTCCAATTTATATGCCATGCCAGTGACTATGGGGGCTGTGTGTGTTAATATAAAACTGTTACTAGTTTAACTGAGTTTATTTGATTCTGAGGATTAGATCTCGCATATCCTTCACCAGTTTAAATCTATGAGGTAGTCAACATCATAAATAACATATACAAGGACCTTTGTCTGCTTGCAAGGTCAAGCAGATTTTGTTTGTTTGTTTACCCTGGCTCTCCTATCTCTGAATGCAACATATCCATTTCACTCCACTTCTGATATAGAATCAGGCATCAATTACAAGGAAGTGCTTCCTCAAACTAAGATAACCACATGCATACTAACAGCTTACATACATTCTAAAGTCTGTGCCAAGCCAGGAAATTGATTGTAATTGGTAGCCTGCCCAGGATCCAATCTGGGCAGGCTACCATGACCAGAGTTTTAGTCTTCCAAGCTTTTGGACTCATGCTGGAGCCCATGGTAATTCTGTACTGTTGTACTAGAAATAGTGTAGGGTCTCCTGCTTGGGTGGGAGGTTGGACTAACTGACCTGCAAGGACCCTTCCAATTATGTTATTCTGTTCTATTGGAACAGAAAAGCAGCCTGCTTTCTCCAGCCTATTTTTGTTCTGTTTACTTACCATCTGCTTGAATGCATTTTCAATGGCTCCCACTACTAAACTTTCACGGGAAACCACCTTTTCCATATGGAAGCGTGGCAAGGCATTGTTTGGGACCTCTTTGTCTTCTTCTGCCAGAGAAGTTTTGCTTGATTCTGTGAGAATTGTGCTGGGTCCCTTTTGCAGGCAAATTGGAGGAGCAGAGGAATCTTGTAGGATATCCACCAAATCTTGGAGTTGGTCACGAATATGAAAATGAAGCAGTTTGGATGCCATAATTGCAGCTCCACTTCCCGCATGTCCGTCAAACAAACCCCAGTAGTAAAAGTACAGACCTTTTCTGCCCTGCAGAGAGATTGGGAAGAATTATCCTGAAGTAATGCCAAAAGAAAGGAAACTCAAATTTTTAAAAAGTAAAACTGATGAAACTGCACAATGGTGAAATTCTGCAAGCTTTGCAGTTTGAAGCAACATTCAGCACCTTCTCAGCCAAGCGATCAATTTAACCAAACTGCCATCAGTTCAAGGATGTCCTAATTCCTGGACTTTATTTTACTGCAAAGAGAGAGGAAAGGGCAGAAAAGATGATGAAGTAGCAAGGTGATGAATTTTTTTGCCCCTGAGCAATGCAGTAGGTATCTTATTTACCCAATGTCTAAAGAGACCACGGGCATTATTATGCCTGCTTTAAAGGCCTTTAAAAAAGCTGATCTTTTAAAGTCCAGCTGCAATAGTTCCTGTGACTATGGTGAATGAGAAAGTTTATGGAACACACTGCTTCACAATTCCCCTTTATCAAGTAAGCAATGGTTGCCAATTCCGGTGAGATCTGTGAAGCAACAATTATTTTGTATGACCATTGCTATTAATCAGCAAGTGGGAAGCAAACAGTTCCACTCTCAAGCCAGAATAAGTTCACATAATGTGGTAAACTATGATTTAACTATGGTTGAAACTATTAGCTGAGTAAAATCATTATGAAGCCATACCCTGATTTATTTATAAACTGCGTTCTGCAGGATCCAATCTGGGTCAGTCAATTACATTCTAACTGCAAAGCCAAAAACTATCAGTTGTAAGTTGCAAAAATTGGGTTCATTCAACACAGTAAACCAAAATCAAACAAACTCCATTACAGATTGAAACCCAGCTGTGGAAGAAGCTCTGGTTAACCAGTTGCTCACCACTCACTTCTGACTCTCCAGAGATTCCCTTGTGGCCTGGGTTATTTCTCAGGGTATCTCTTTTTTCCACAAAGACGGCTTCACAACAGGCTTGATCCTCATTATGCTGGCTCTTACCAGCATTTATCACCCTGTTCAGGAAAGAAAGAAACAGACCATCATAGTGTGGATTTAAGGATAGGGGTTTGATTTGATTGGCCAGATCTATCTCAGATTCATCTTGCACAAAGAGGGACCATAAATGGGGACAAATGGTTCAATTGCTGCTGTTTTTAGCAAACAGAAGCAATTTGAGGAAGGACCTGGCATAGGGTTTTTTTTTTTTTTAAACTAAAAACCAGCCCTGTTGAGCTAGGTGGGTTCATTTTACCTTCGGTCAATGAATGGTTTCTGGTACCTGATTGACCAGCATAGGACCATGAGAAGTGATGCTCTAAAACTATTTCATCAAGCTTATTAACCTCACACTGCCTTCTTTTGTTATCCAAACAGAACTCCTGGTTTTAAGAGTTGTTCAAGCCCTTGGAGGCAACCATTTATTTCTGGTGAAAGAACTTGATAAAGGACCTCAAAGCCAGCAAATCCCCAAGCACAAAAATGCCAGACAAAATGAATTGAAACTTTCTGCCCACATAAGTTTCTTTTATCTTTGTTTTTCTTCAGCTTCGCAACTTCACATCATTGCAAAACACAGCTTGGCAGCAGGAAGTTGTAGAAACATAAAACAGGAAACATTGTCCGGGTAGGAATTTGTAACACTACAGTTTGCAAGGCACAAATAGTATATGGTATTATGGACGCAATTGGTATAGAACTCAGGAGAATTTCCAAACAGACACTTCCTCACCTCTCCCCACCCCCAAAGGATGATAGGAAAACTTCCAATATGCTTCCAAAGATTTTTTAAAAAGCATTAAGAAACTAAGAAGGTAAAATGTAACTATTACAAGTTACAGTCAGTTGCAGGGGGCATCAGTAAAAAGAAGATCCCTCAACAATCTACCGTACAAGCAAAACAACTTGAGAGGGCGAGATATTATAAATACCTCGGATGTATTCTGAGTGACAGATGGGATCATAGTATGGAAATAAAGAGCAAGGCTGAACAGGTGAGAGTAGCTTATTGAAAAATAAGTAACTAGCTTGCTGTCAGGATTTAAGATTGGAACTTTGTTCGCAGACTGTATGCTGTTATGTCTTGCCAGTTCTTTTGTAGGAGCTGAATCACAAACAGGATAAGAGAAGCCTTTGGAATGTGGATTTATAGATTATAGAATTAGTGTGCAACCAAATGAAGCAGGCAATCCTCCAAAGCTTAGGCAAAGATAGGAAAAGTGTGAATACCAACATGAAAACAAACTAAGATCAGATGATACATAACGGGAAATATCAGCTCAATGAATTCTGCAAGGAAAGCTGCGAAGGAAATGTAGCACTGCATGATGACCCATATCCTGGTGGAAATATCTCTGCATGTGAGTTGGCCAAGTAAATATATTCTTCTTTCAGGTGGTAAAACTGAAGCTACAAATAGCATTGATAGTTTTCAGTAGAGGTGGCACTAAAGCAGAGATCTCCAAACTTGGCAACTTTAAGACTTGTGGACTTCAACTCCCAGAAGTTGAAATCCACAAGTCTTAAAATTGCCAAGTTTGGGGACCACTGCACTAAAGGAAGAACTAGAGGTTCTTTTTAACTCAGTGAATGGATTGGGAATCAAAGACTTACAGAGTTGAAAGTGACCATTTAGGTCAGGGGTGTCAAACGTGCAGACCGTGGTCTGGATCTGTCACCCGCTGGCCCTGTTTTAGCGAATGGGGGAAAAGTTGTGATACATCATGTGACAACCTGTTGTTGCGATTTTGACACCCCTGATTTAGGTCAATCTCAACAACCTTAACATATAGGGACTTCAACTCCCAGAATTCCCAAGTCTTCAAGTTGCTGAAATTGAGAAATACTGATTTAGGTCATCTACCCCAACTGCCTGCTCACTACAGGAATCCAGACGTATCCAAGGAGAGACCATCATCTCTCTAGGCCAGGGGTCTGCAACCTGTGGCTCTAGAGCCACATGCGACTCTTTCGGCCCTCTGCTGCAGCTCCCTGTTGGCTGATCCCACCACTGGGTGGCCCCTCCCCTCCCCTCTCCGTCACTCCTCACCAGGCCTGAGAAGGTAAGGGTGATGGCAGGGATGGAGATTCGCTCCATATTCCAGAGAGGTAACTGGGTGGGAGTGAGTGATGTCGAGTCGGTCACGCCCACCCAGTCACACCAATTGTTAAATTATTGGCTCCCGGTGTTTTCTTTTCTGTGGGAAACAGGTCTAAATGGCTCTTTGAGTGTTTAAGGTTGCAGACCCCTGCTCTATGCACACGTTTTCACTGTCCAACCATTCTTACAGATAGAAAGCTTTTTCTAAGATTCAATCAGAATCTGCCTTTGTACTTTAAACCCATGATAGTATTCCACATTCTGGGAACAGGTCCTGAACATCTTCTATGCAGCATTCTTTGCCAAAATTCAAACAAAGCATACTATGCCTTGTTGCATCAATCTGGCCAATGGCACAGGATTTTTTTCTGTATAAATTACTGCATTAAACCGTGTAAAAAAAAATCTACAATTTTAGCAATAATAACCCCAGTTTATGTTAATAAATTCTTCAAGAGGAAAGAGACTTCAGTTTATTGTTATTCATTAGTCTGTTAAAAACAAGAAATGAGAAAACCTGCTAACAAACAAACAAAAAAACTTGCAGGAGTAGCAGGAAAACAGATAAGTGGATATTCTCCTAGGTCAAGGAAATTATATTTAGAAATGATATTATTATCTCAGGGCTGAGTTTTACCGGTAGTAACCTTCTTAAAACTAAGACAGCCTATCCTATTAAACAAAGGCAAGCTGAAGTCAGGACACACAGCATGAAGTCGTAAGAAAAATGAGATATTAAATAAACTGCAAGTAAAATGCCAATTACCATTTGCAAGTAAAATGGAGAAACAGACAAAAAGTAAAAATCTGTTTATGGTCATCTCAATATTTCTAACAGTACACAATATGAATTCAGCAGCCTTGATTAAAGTACACATGTTCACCATTTTCCTGGCAAGACTTTTGTGTCTTTACCAGCCAGATAACAGTTTCTCAAATTTCCCTGCCAAGAAAAGAAGCATTTGCTCACAAATTAGCTGATAAAAAATAGGACTCTTTCTCACAATAAAACATTAAATTTTCAGACACCCACACAAGGCACGCAATTGCCTTGAATGTCTATTTTTTAAAAAGTAATTTGCTATTTTTGGATCCTCTGCATGTTTGTAGCTTAGCTCCCAACTGCCAGGCCCAGGAACCACCAGAACAGACGGAAGGCCACATTGAAGGTTAGGTGTGTCCAGAGGGCATGGGCAAAAGTTTAGATGGTGGCAGCAACTGGACGATGGAAACTCCACCATTTTTGTGTGTCATGACTGCCAATGTGCCTTTTTTTTTAACCATATCCTGCAGACATCTGTGATGGAGATGACAATGAAGACAAATGCCTTCTCTGTTTATTTATTTTTTTTAATTCAACAATAATACCCCAGGGGATGCTTAAATTTTTTTCACATACATTGATATAAGGAGGACAGAAATAGGGAAGTATTGCAAGAAAATATTTTTTTCTCTTAACATATTCCATGAGAATTCTGAAATAATACAGTGTAGAAGAAAACCTTAGCTACGTACAGTATACATAACACACTAAACCACTGTTTGCATAATCATGCAACTAAACCCAATTAACCAGGTTTATTTATTTATTGCATTTATATCTCACTAGAATCAAGTTGAGTTTTGGTGGGTTCAAAGAACATAACAACCCATTAACAAAAAATTATGGCCTAGTGTGTTGTGTAAACCTAGTCACTCTCAGAAAACTCAGCTGTGTTGGTCTCAAGCAATTTATGTTTACATTTTGGCTGTCTCACTGCTTTATAGGAAATGCATAAAAGTTGGGCTATTGGTAAACTATAAAGTCTAAGAGTCTTTTTTAAAGAAAAACACCCAATTGCTGAAGCTCTCTGGGTAGTTTACAATATTAATTTTTCACCTAAGATAACTCTTTAAAACTGCAAGAATATCCTAAGGGTGTAACACTGTAAGTGTCATTACCAGATAAATAGTAGACTGTTAGCATTTTCTGTATCTAATGTATCTGTCTGGATTTTTTGGAGCCTACCTCTGACAGCACCAGCATTCTTCCTAGCAAATGTGGATCGGCTCAGTGGCTATGTTTGGAATACTTTCAAGCACAACTACATTTTCTTCAATGTAGTGTACAATCCTCCCTTTATGGTTATGCATATATGTATTGCCAGCGATCCTGAAAATTGGGCAAAACACGGCTAACTTAACTGCATATATTATGCAACAGAGACAGCCCGTAGACGTAGTAATCGCCGCTTCTTCTTTAACGAGCAGTAGAAAGAAACCAACGATTTGGACTCTCCATATTATTTTCCCATATAAATTCCCTTGCATCATCTTCAGCTGCCTAAGGTGAGAAAAGGGCTTGAGGAGATCCGATTGGCTGGCTACCCTTAGGAGCTCATCCACCTAACGGCGCGGTTTAACACCCGGCCCTTGCCCTCGGAGACCAACGATTTACTAGCTTGCTTAAAAGAGAAATCTCGTAGCAGCTCCGGAGCGGTCCGCATGAATGAATCGGGACCCAACGGGCCCGAAGCAGTGGCTGGAAAACGAACGTCACCCACACAGCTACTTTGCTCTTTCTAGCCCTATATAAATAGGGAAGCGAAATCTTCCCTCTTTTAAGCATAGGTTAAAGTTACAGGCTTAACTCTCCCTCGATGTCGGGCATAAAATTAAAACCTCCGTCGAATCCCCTATAGTAGGGTTCGGCCATTCACGCGGGGCAAACAAATTGTCTTGGGATCTGCCGCACAGAAACGGGCAAACCGGAGCAGGTCGTGACTTAAATCGCTCGCTTATTTTCCCCGTCCCCACCCCATCTTTCCTTAACTCTAATTCGAAAAACACTAAGAACAGGCTCGCTGCTAAGACTGTTGAGTGCACTCTGTGCATGCTCTGAGGCGCCGTTTTGTCACCTGCTTTCCTTGCACCGGGCCTAAGCCCTCCACCCCTGCGCCTCCACTTTGGGAAGGCAGTGTCTCCCCCCCCCCTCCGCCCGCCAAAGGCGCCTGAGGGGCTCCCTCCCTCCTCCGCCGCCCGCTCTTTGTCGCCTACTCGGCGTAGCCGGTGCTCCAGGGCAGGCGACGGCGACTCTCGCGGGGGCTCTGGACGGTTCTGCCCGTGTGGTCGTCGGCCAGCAGAAGCTCCTCTGGCGTGAGCTGCAGAAAAGACGGCCTCGAGAAGCTGCCGCGGGGCCCCTCACGATAGGAGCTGCTCGTGGTGGTAGCGGAGGTGGTGGTGGTAGTGGCGGCGCTAACGCTGGGCCCGGCAGCCTCGGACAGAATAGGCGGGGACGACGCGGTTGAGGCGCTGGCAGCGGGCGAGGTGTGTTGCGGACTGCGGGGGCTTCCTCCGCCTCCCAGACCCCCGACTAGTTGCGCCACCGCTGAGCGAACTCTGCCCAACATGCTGCCGCTCTTGCTGCTGCGGCCGCCGCCGGGCGCCTTGGGCTCCGAGCGGCCAGAGAAGGAGGCGCGCTGGCGGGCTGTGCTCCCTCCTCCTCCTCCTCCTGGGCTCGGGCTGAACTCAGGCGCGTCAGGGAATCTCCGAGAGCCTCCTCCCAACCGCGTCCTCTTCGACGCACCGCGAGCCTCAGGCGCCTTCGGAACCTCCTCCCCAGCTCCCCGGAGGTTTCTCTTCCCACCGAAGCGCTTTAGGGACCGCGGAGGCGCTCCTTTCCTTGGGGAGTCTTTGTGTTATGCCTGGGGGGGGGGGGGCTCGCCTCCCGTTGCTGAGGAGTGTCTTGAAAGCTTCCTGTAGGCCTAGTGGTCAGGTTCAGATGTGGGATTCAGCAGGTTCTGACTAGTTCTGGAGAAATTTTGAGTAGTTCGGAGAACTGGCAAATACCACCTCTGACTGGCCCCCGCCTCCATCTATTCTCTGCCTCCTGAGTCCCAGCTGATTGGATGGGCCTTCTTTTGTTGCCCTGCACAGGAGAAAGGAGCTGGAAAGCAGGTTAGTGGGGTGGGGAGGGTCTAGGATTTTGCAGTATCCTTCCCCAAGGAGTGGGGTGGGAATGGAGATTTTGCAGTATCCTTCCCCTGCCATGCCCACCAAGCCACATCCCTCCCACCAAGCAACGCTCACAGAACCTGTAGTAAAAAAAATTGAATCCCACCACTGGTCAGGTTGTCTTCTAATCTTTCCCGCATCTTACAATTGTTCTTGACAACCACAGCAATGATTTACTTGTTTTACTTCCCAGTGACAACTCTGATTTCTTGGTGGTCTCCCATCCTAGTAGCAGCCAATCTGATCTTGCTTAATTATTTGATGCCAGTCAAATCCGGCTACACACTGGATGGCTTTGTGATCCTCCCTCCACATTAAATATACTGGGGCTTAAGGTACTTAGGGCTCTAAGCCAGTTGTTCTCAACCTCGGCCACTTTAAGCAGGCTGGGGATTTCTGAGAGTTAAAGTCCACACAGCTTAAAATGTCTGAGGATGAGAAGCACTGCTCTTCAGGAGCACCCGCACTTTAGGATTTTCACCATATTGGTCCTACAGCTCTGGCTGTGTAACACACCTTGTTCACTTTAGGAAGGTATGCAGCTTTAGAAATAGGCTGTCATTCCTAATATCCCATTGTTTTCTAAATACGTTCCTGTTATTTTAAATGATTTTACTGTTCCAGGGGGGGGAAAAACATCTTCAGGTAAGAAAAAAAGTTAAAAAGCTTAAAGGGCTGGTGGAGTGAGCTAAATTAAGGGCTTGGAGCTATTCCCCACCACTATCTACTTCCATCACCTGACTTCAGGCTTTTACTTTTTAAATCAGGTCTTCATATACAAATCTTAAGTCACCAAGCAATATTCAATTAAGAGCAATATTCAGTCAAGGCTTATTGATATGTTCAACCCCCAAACAGGTGACATTCTGGATTTCAGAAAATTTTGTGCTCTTTTCAGAGACCTATTTTATCACGTGGTGAAAGAAAGTGTAGGTAGACAGTTTGCTTAAAGAACTACATGATCCTGGGAAGATGCAGGCCATGTGGACCCAGCTTTTTAGCTTAGCATGTTCTACTGACGTTGTCATGTGTGTTTAGATCTCAAGCCAGATCCTCAAACAAATGCCCCATTTCCCCAAATGTTTCCATTCAATATTTCATAGCCAGAATTTCCTGTAACATCTCAACTTCTCTGATACAGACCTTCAATTCATAGGCACTTTTGCCAATAAAAACAATGCTTGATGCTAGTATTTATTTCTCAGCCTGCCATATCAATGATTTTTTTATATTCAAACAAAATTGATGTAGACAGGAAGCTTGGCAGCCAACCAAGTGCTCTTAACAACCATATGGCCTGCTCCAGGCCTAAATACATCACTCCACTATAGCCTTATGTTTGGTTTCTACAGGTAGTTCTTGTCTTACAACACAGTTGACCCCAAAATTTCTGTTGCTAAATTAAGCGAGTTTGGCCCCATTTTATAACCTTTCTTGCCATAGTTGTTAAGTTGTTAAGTTAGTAATATTAAAGTTAGTAATATTAAAGTGAGTCTGGCTTTTCCATTGACTTTGCTTGTAAGAAGGTCACAAAAGGTGATCACATGAGCCCAGGACATGCAATTGTCATAAATATGGGCCAGTGTGCTGACCCAGGGTGGGATACAAAACAAACACAGTCACAGAAAACAGGTGAAGCCCCTTTTATTCCTTCAGTTTGCTTCCAAGCTCCGAATATCTTTGATGGAAGACAAAAAAAACTCCCATACAAACAGTTACACAAAGAAGGAAAACAACAACACAAACCAGGCAAGATAAGGGCTGGAGGATGTCCATAGATAACACACACTGGGAAGGACCCCAAACTCAGAGAGGAACTATAAACTAGAAATATTTACACGCTTTGTTTCCAGCGTTCACCAGTATGCAGGTCCAAATTCTTATTCAGTTGTCACAGCTGCAGCCCATGAAGAGGATCAAGGCCCTCTCCTCCCACGTAGACCACATGCCCTAGGATGGATAGGGGATGGGCCTGGGTCCTCCTCTGACTGCTCAGCCGGCCTCTGCCCTTCCCCAGCCTCCGGAGCCACACTTCCACTCCTTGTCAGCTGTTCCTCCTCTCCCTCAGAGTCAGTCTCCGCCAGGGGCATGACAGACAGTTGTCAAGATCTGAATTTTAATCATGTGACAATGCTGCAAAGATTATAACTGTGAAAAACAGATATAAGTCACTTTTTTCAGTGCCATTGACTTTGGTCAGAGTGGTGCAGTGGAGCTCTCGCCCCACAATCAGGAGGCTGTGAGTTCAATCCTAGGTAGAGGCAGATATTTCTCTCTCTGGGCACAATGAGACTATATCTGCTGAACAAAACTCTGCATTGGCAATAGGAAGGGCATCTGGCCAGTAAACACTCTGCTAGCTCCATTCAGTTGTCCAGATTCCACCCTGCAAGGGATTATGGGGTTGTTAAAAGAAGACGATTGTGACTTTGGACACTAAATGAATGGTTGTAGGTCTAAGACTACCTGTACTGGGGATTCATGTATGAGGGATCTGAATTTTGGCTTTTATGTGGCTGGTCCTTTGCTGGGATTTTTCTTTGTTAGCTTGGTTGTATCTCTGAGACCAAGGATAATCATGTTTCTTGCATGAATCAGGAAGGAGTCCTTGGGGAACTTAAGGATTAGGCTTAGAAGTATATTTGATTGATCTCAACCATTTTTTGTATAGAGGCTTCTTCAACAGGAAGCTATGGATCTTGTTCAACACCATTTACCCAAACAAGTGCTCAACAGCCCAAAGTGGCAATGGAGCCTGCCTGATAGCTTGTAACCTTAACAGAACCATTCCTAAAAGTATCAGTCTCTCTTTTGGCCCTACAACTTTTCCCACATATTATTCCCAAGAGTGAAAGATGTTTAAACTTCTGTACTGATAATTATGCATAAATTCTGCATTATGTCTCCTTATCCCAATATGACCCAACAGTAACTTCACAGTGTGTATAATCTGCTGTGTTTTGCCACCTTTATGTAAGAGACAAAGTCAGAGGACAAGTACTTTGTGTGATCCAAGGTGTGTAATGGGGGTGCTGGGAGGTGTAGGTTTTTTCCTTATTCTCTGGTCACAAGCCAGGCTTAATTGCAGCCTTGTTTCTGCCAGCATTTGCCCACTTAATAAGCAATTCGTTTCCAAGTGTCTTCGTGCCTGTTACCTCTCTTTTTCAATCTTCACTTCTCTAGTCTTCCAGCCTAATAGAAAAAATAGACCTCCCCTATTTCACCTGTGGAAACAGTAGGGATACATTTGGGTTAATCTACTTTATCTGAAGTGTCTGTCTATCTTGAGATGCAGAAACCCTACTTTTCCTTCTTGTTATTGTCTGGGAAACAGCGAGGGCTTAGTTTCTATTTCTTAGTTCCAATCATTTCCTTTCTCTTCCAGGTCAAGTATCTATTCAGTTTCACTTCAGGGCCCAGCTAATTGCACAATCATAGCAGCATCTGTCTCTTCTCCCTCGGGGACCATTTGCTGTCTTAGTGTCTTTCCATATGCTTCTTTATTTCACACGGCAGGAAAAAAAAACCTTGATTCAAATGTTGAATTGTCAAATTTAAATGTTGGTTAAATTTAAATGTATGTAATTTCCATATTTTATATAATTTATGCAGTGACACAATTGAAGTTTTTACTTCACCAGTTTGCATCATTTGCATAATGTAAATTGCTGTTTATATCAACTGTATTTACTGCATTATGGAAAGGTCACAAATTCATGCAAATAACATCAGTTATCCAGGCAGACTTTGAAACAATGGACTTGTTATTTTGCAGATGGGGATTGAGTATAGAGTTGTTCCATTGCCTTGAAATCTATTAAATGTTGACATCTGTTATGTCAACATAACAAGCAATCATTAAGTGGATGCCTGCTAAATTAAGATTTTTCTGTTTTTAAACTTGGATGATGGATGGATGAGAAGGGAAGGAAGCCACTTAGGGAAGTCTAGTGAAATCCTGAAGTCCGCCCCCCCCTCCCATTTTACCATGAATGTTTTCCCTGCTGGCTGGTATCATGCTGAAAGAAGATGCAGCAAAGACAGTGCAGAAGGCCCATCATCTTGCACATAATTACTTGCATAGCCACAAATTAAGAGGACTAAGTTCACAACAGAATCAGAAATTGAAAGATAAAATATTATT